TCCCCCCTTTTTTTTGGCTTAATTAGTTGCTAAGTGACAAATATATCCTTGTTTAAAATTATGGGTTATTACATACTTCTACTAGCCAAAATATTAATCAAACTATCACATGCACTACATAAAATTATGATAAAGATTCCAATTGTGTCCTCGATCTGGATCACAATGGCCGAACATAATATTTTAGATATATGTTCATTATTGAATGACGGATATAATCTACATATCAATTACACGGTAAAGGCTATTTGAAATTTATGAGTTCTAAACTTATCAGTAAATTCATAAATTATTGGATTCGTAATTAAATTTTTTATTACATTAAGGGTAGCAGAATGGAAAGCGGGGAACGAGATTATACAATACGGGTAATCAAACCCTTATCGATAAGATAAATATTTAAATAGCCTACCAATTAAACTACTAACAACTTGTTTCGATAGTTGTTACTTATTATACAATGTTGTATTGTTACTTTAGACACAATATTCGTTTTGACTGTTACTAAAATTTTATTGTATTGTATGGAACAATGGATTTGGTGTGGTGACGTTGTTACTTTACTTTTTTCTTTCATCTTGTCTTTTCTTATTATTAAATAATTATATTTTATCTTTTACCCTATTTTTTTAATATAATAACTCTATTGTGTATCCTATTTTTTCTTAGTAATATTGTAAGTTTATTCTTCATATTGTTGGTGTGTGACATCATGAAACGACGGTAAAAAATACAATCTATCCAAACATTATATTTATCAAATAATACAGTACAATATAATACGATCCGTTATAAAACGATAAGTAACAACATTAATCCAAACAAACCGTAAGATTTTAATACAAATAGAGAATCTAAACAAAAGATACTGCATTTCTTGGGAGGTAATACTCTTACTTCCGCCCCCACACGGGGCTTCCCATTTCCAAGCATCTCTATATATAGTAGACTACGCACTTCAAGTTTTCAAGCAAAAGCATTCTTCAATGGCTTCTCTATCTTTAACTAAAGTATCTTTCTTTCTTTTAGTAATAATCTTAGCTTTCCATTCTTCTCCTTCTGCTGCCAAAAGGAAATGCGGTATAACTTCTGTTTACCAATTCGGCGACTCTCTCGCTGATGCAGGAAATGCCATTCGTATCCCGGATGTCTCCCTGATATTAAGCACTGGCAAACTTCCTTATGGCGAAACCTTTTTTAACAAACCTACAGGCCGCGCCTCAGACGGCCGTATCATTAATGATTTCATTGTCTCTACTCTCAATCTTCCTTTCCTAAATGCTTATTTGAACAACGGTACTTCTTTCCGCCAAGGTGCTAACTTCGCTGTCTCTGGTGCCACGGCGTTAAATAACACTTTCTGGGCTGCTCAGAATGTTAATTTGCGTCCCTGGAACAAGTATCTCGATGCTCAATTAGATTGGTTCAAATCTCATCTGCAGTCCACCTGTGGCTCCAATTGTAGACAAAATCTCAAGAATTCTCTCGTTATATTGGGAGAATTCGGTGGAGTTGACTACTTCAACTGTTTTTTCTCAAACAAGCAAGAACCTGAGATCCGGAGATATGTTCCTCTTGTTGTTGCTGAAATTACGAGAGGAATAAGAGATGTGATTAAACTAGGAGCAACTCGAATTTTGGTTCCAGGAGTTTACCCTTTCGGATGTTTACCTGTTTACTTGACAAGTTTTGCTGTGCCTAATGCAACTGCTTACAATCCATTGGGTTGCTTGAGAAATTTGAATGCTTTCTCTTCATACCACAATACTGAGCTGAAAATAGCTCTAAAAAGTTTACAGTGCGAGTTCCCAAATGTTAGAATCGTTTACGGGGATTACTACGGAGCGCTTATGACTGTTCTTCGTCGGGCTACTAGATTTGGATTTAATCAGAACACATTGCTCACTGCGTGCTGTGGAGGCGGCGGCGGACAATACAATTATGGGAAACCATGTGGATCAGATGGTGCTACAACTTGTCCTAATCCGTCTCGATACGTCAATTGGGATGGTATTCATTTGACAGATGCAGCTCATCATCGTATGGCAAACATTATCGTCAATGACATACTTCCAAAGTTCGTGTATCATAACGTTGAAGATGCAGGTGTACTCATGTCTAGTTATTGAGTTTCAAAGTTTCTTTTTCTTCTACTTTTATTTTGATTTGGCGGTCGATCGGAAACAGTCTCACTGCCTTCACAAGGTAAGGGTAAAGTCTGCGTACACTCTACACTCTACCCAGACCCTACTTTGTGGGATTACACTGAATTTGTTGTCGTCCTTGTTATTGTTATTGTTGTTATTGTTGTTGTTGTTGTTGTTGTTGTTGCATTTGTTTGTTTTGATTATGATGAGATGTATTGGTGAAAAAGAAATTAATGAAATGAATGATTGTTGTTTGCCCCCCAAAAAAAGTTAAACCCTTGTTATTCGAGTTAATTCGTCTAAGAGAAAGCACACACCTAAGATAAAGTAGAAGGGGACTTTAGAGCTGTGAACGTCGTGTAGCTATACCTCAAGTCTCCTCTGATAACTTTATTTTTATTCAGACCCTTGTTTGTATTATTCTAGAAGCCCGTGCACTTGTGACTCCAGTTCTGCGATGGTATTTAGACATCGTTATTATTTTGGTTTGTTTACTTTAATTCAGATATTATTCCACTTGTTTGGTTTCTTTACTATTTAACTAAGATGAATTGTTAAAAATGGTTAAAATTTATTCTAACGCTGGCTTGCCTAGCAAGTGAAATGTTAGGCGCCATCACGGTTCCGAATGTGGGAATTTCGAGTCGTGAGATGTTACACCTCATATTTTTGTACGTGAGAGTACATCATAAGTCAATTGATGTAATCTCAGAAATGATATCGCCTTTGAAAGAACATAAAGTAAGTTAATCATGTTACATTGGAGGTTCCAAATCTTTAAGACCATGGATAACAACTACCAAGATTGTTGAAAGGCTTAGGAGCTAAGCAAATTGAAGAAAAAATATTTCGTCGAATGTCGACAAGTTAGGAATATTATAACATGTACTTTTGGGGTGATACTAGGGTTCTTAACATGATAAAGGGGTTATGTTATGAGTTATTTTATTCGTATGATAGTCGTGTGTTATATTTTGAAGTCAAGCGAGTTTTGGAACAAAAATTGGCAAAGGTCATCACAAGTTACATTCATAATATGCTGAATATTAGGTCAAATATAACAGAGCTTTTCTCCTAATATACTTGGAATTATAGAATGATCCACATATCAAATTGAAGATATACGAGTCTAGTTTCTAACGTATTAAACTGTTTGTCGATACTACATCATAGTAGAGAGCTAATTGTAGTTTCGCGAGACTGCACAGACTGTATAGGTGACAAGTAGGTGAGTCACTAAAGCGTTTTGAGCAATACCTTTTGTGTGTTATATAAGGTCTTTTTGGAATATATTATATATATAATTGAACGTATTTGAATCTAGTTTCCAACACTTTCAACCGTTTATTCATACGATATCCGTATAAAAAGATATAAACGTTGGAAGAAGGGCTAATGCTAGAGTGCCAAGTAGCACCGTTTTGACTTTTCAACAAATTGGATATTTATATCCCTTATGTCGTCTCTTTCTTCCCTTTTCCAGAAACCACGACCAAATAAGGCCCATAAACTTATCCTTAAGCTCTCTACAAGGATTTCGTAGAAGATTAACATCCCGGGTACGAAATCAAGAAGCGATAACATTAGAACGATCCCTACGACATAAGTATCGCAATATCGCCTCTCTTTTTCTTTGTAGTTTGAGTTTTGGAAGGTATTTAATAGTTAAGAAAATGCCTACTTTCTGTATTTAAGATTTTCAATATCAAGAAAGGTTGATAAATGTGTTTCTCAATAGTTAGAACTCACGAGACGGTGATCAGAAGCCGTGAATTCGAGTTATTCGACTTGTAGTGGACTGTTTTGTGGGCTGTTTCTTGTTGTTTTTGGACTGTCTATTTTGCTAATGTTTAATGGAGTTTTGGAGGAGAAATTATGTGGAGAAACACCCTATTATGGCGAAATGGTTGATTAGTCATTTTTTGTAATATTTTTGGGGTGTTTGACACTACTATAGTTGTCATTTTTGGGTATGAAGTGATTGGGGTGTGTTGAACTGTTGTAAGCTAAATATAACATGGATTTCGACTTGAATCCACTATAGGAGGTAATTATATTGTGTTCTTGCATGTTCTTAAGGTTATCTTGATGTTGTTTAAGTTAAATAGATGGGATATACATGAAGTAGTGAATAAAGTTACTAATTGAGGATAATTGGAATTGTGAATTATTTTCTTTATTATAAATATATGGTATAAGGCTGGAATCATTGATGAATGACTTCATTATCATGTTAATGATACGGTTAAGTTAAATTAAGAAGTCTATAAGGGGTGATATGGGGTATATAGGTTTCAATCAGAGCTTGCCGCTCGTCGTGAAGTAATTGTGACTTGTTATTGTTATATGTCTTGTTATTGATAATTATGTATTGTTGGATTGCTCTAGTCATTGTTGTTGGTATATTATATTGGAGGAGGCTCTCGTTGTAGGGGAGATGCTGCCCAAATTTACATAAACGAGTTACTAGTTTAAGTTGCGGACTTAGCCTTTACTCAGCGTAGTGATTTTGAATCTCCTTATGCTATGGTACATTGAGTTGGGTTGTTTGAAGAATTGCTTGGAAGGTATTAAGGACTCAATGGAGCTAAGGTATGTTAAGTCTATCCTCTCTTTCCTATTGGCAAGGGTACAAACGATAAAGAATTGCTTGGAATGTATTAAGGACTCAATGGAGCTAAGGTATTAAGAATTGCTTGGAAGGTATTAAGGACTCAATGGACTCAATGGATCCATATGATACAAACGAAACGAGCAAACGCAGAACTTTCACAAATGACTATATTCTTAGAAGTACTAGAGGTGCCTATGTTCTTGATTCCTCATGTGTCCTATTATTATGTCGTCTCTTCATAGGTCTCAGAAAATACTTAAGTTGATAAAGTTTATTTCATGATATTAACCGAAGGCATATTGATCTTATGACATCCCTTTATTGACTTACTTCTTATGCATTGCATTCAATTATACATGTACATTGACCCATGACCAGATGGCGTTATATACGCGTATATTATATGTATATGGAATATGGGAAAAGGTTATGGCGTTATAAATGCACCTCCACCTGATCAACTAGTCTACGTTGATGATTTCGCCCATAGAGGACGAGATGATATGATGGGATGCCCTCAGAGGCTTAATGATGTTATGTATGCACATATCTATGCATGATGTGGCATTTATACACATATGCATGACATTATAAATGTTTCACGATTCACAAAGCTATTCAAACTCACAGGTTGAGTTCTTTACTCCTTGTTTCTTTTATATCTTTAATATATTGCTTTCATGTTTTACATACTCAGTACTTTATTTGTACTGACGTCCTTTTTTCTTGGGGACGCTGTGTTTCATGCCCTCAGGTCTCGATAGACAAGTTGAGAGTCATCCTAGTAGGCTATCAGCTCAGTGGAAGGTGTTAGTGCACTCCACTTGCTTTGGAGTTGCCTATTTGGTCAGTATGATTTGGACATGTATTGATTGCTATGGCGGGGCCCTGTCCTGACCTTTATGACGTTTATGCACTCTTAGAGGCGTGTAGACATATGTCATGTATATAGATGATTGTATGGCCTTGTCGGCCTATGTTTTGAGTGTACAAATGATCATGTCAGCCTTATAGGCCCATATGTCACATGTATAAGTTTGTATTCCATGTTGGGTCATCCTATTTCGAGTATTCCCTTATGTTTTATTCTGGTTATATCATGTCAGCCCATTTACCCATGATGGTATGATAAGAAAGATACGTTACGTTGGTGCTCGGTTAGGTAAGGCACCAGGTGCCCGTCGCAGCCCATCAGTTTGGGTCATGACAAAAGTGATATCAGAGCAGTTCTGTCCTAAGGAGTCTACAAGCCGTATCTAGTAGAGTCTTGTTTATGGGTGTGTTGTGCATCACACTTATAAGTAGGAGGCTATAGGGAATTTAGGGCTGTCACTCTTTCTTTTTACCCTAAAATCATGTAGTAGAGCTCAGTTGTAAGAATTCAAACTTCTAAATTCTATTTTATTTGTAATACAATGATATCTACATCCAAAAAGACAGTTGGTAAGAGATTGAATATGGCTGTGGAAGAGTTGAGTCAGAGGATTTCGATTTTGCATCATGCTCATAATGAGTAAATGTGAGGTCTTTATCAGATCATGTGTATACTAAGATGTGTAAGCTTCTTGATAAAGAGCCCTAAGGAAAGAATATCTATTCACCCATCTGGTAAAAAGAAATAAGAGAATCAGAAGGTAGATACAAGTTTCAGCAAGTAAAAGAAGCAAGATGAAGAAGGGTAGAAGGTCCCTAGTTAATGAAGATTATTAGTATTTACAATTCAGGTAGAGAAATATAAGCATTTTGAGTTCCCTTCAACAATAATAGAGATATATAAAATTGGCCACACCCATCTTAGTTATGCCCTATGGGATCTAACATATATTATTTAAGATAAGGATCTGATATCAGGATCCAGTTGGGGTTAGAATAACCCAAAATGGTGGATGGATTGTTAGCATTAGCTGACATTTCTGAAGGATATTGAAAACGTGGTAATAGTTCTCCTTATGAGACACCCAGATGGTGCACTATAGAATAGTAAAGTTAGATATGAATACTAACATGTTCATAAAATTCAGAGGGTAGGCACTGAATCCTAGAAGGGATAAATATTTACCTTAGTATGGTACCCGTCCCTAGCCAAGAGAGAATGCTAGGCGACCCGAAAAGCCAGTGTATGGAGCAAGGGGAGCTAAAAGCGAAAGAATATTTTGTTGAAGTTTTTAGAAGAAAGTGAGAGACAGAAATATTAGCAGGAGAATAATAAGAGAGTAAATGAAGCCTTATGAGTAGATGTGATAAATGGATGATAACGGTAAATCAAAATATGATAGGATTATATATTCTATAGTCAAGTGAAGGAAAATACAAGAGGTGACAGGCCCCGAGGCAATACAATTGTATAAGCCATAAAGTCATACCCTCATTTTGAGAAATGGGTTGGTGACTCATACGTGATTACCAGAAGAAAAAGTTAGACCCCCGGAGTAATATAAATTAGTATTGGCTAGTGAATAAGATAAACCGAACATGAATTCGGTACCGAAAGATTTGATAATAGTCGACATCGTGAGAATTTCAGAGATCGCGTTCCGGCAATAATAGAATAGACAACAGAAGAATAACCTCTAAAGGTCATTCAGGAAGACGCTTCCCTAAAGCAAGCACTGTGAGCAGATTTAAGCTTAAGGGATT